AGACTTGAGAAATAATACAAAAATTTGAGATTTAGAGTAAAAAATCAGGATTTTTTTGATAAGACAGAATTTAGAGATTTTTAGAAAAAATACAAGATTTTGAGAAAAAATACAGAATTTAGAGATTTTTAGAAAAAATACAGAATTTTGAGATTTTTATGGAAAAAGAGAGAATTTTGAGAAAAAATACAGAATTTTGAGATTTTGAGCATAAAATACAGAATTTTGAGATGTAACTGTCAAGAGAGGGCTCTTGTATATCAGCATGTGAAGGACACTGCTCAGGAACTAGTTGATGCTCTGTATGTGATGACTACTTCCATTCTGGAGAGGATCACAAATACGTGGATCCTGAGATTGAAGCTCAAGCCGGGGACGAGTGATATTTTTCTAACAAATACATGCCTTCTTCTGTCAGGTATACGACGGGTCACATATGGGCCTGTCCACCCAGTGAAGGCGACGATTATATCTTCCACTGTCACCCCGCCGACCAGAAGATCCCCAAACCCAAACGGCTGCAGGAGTGGTACCGGAAGATGCTGGACAAAGCTGTGGCTGAGCGCATCGTTCACGACTACAAGGTGAGACACGACTTCAACTTATTGTTCAGACCTAGTAAAGCTATTGCACTGGGCATATTCTGAGATCGTTTTCATTGGTCAAGAATAACATTTGAACTTTAGATGAATGTTTTATTTGCTAAAATAGTGAAAAGAGTAATTTAAAAAATGACCATAAAGACGTTACAACTCTTAAACACGTTTGTCTTTGTTTCTCAGGATGTCTTCAAGCAGGCGACAGAGGACCGGCTGACGAGCGCTAAAGAGCTTCCGTACTTCGAGGGCGACTTCTGGCCCAACGTCCTGGAGGAGAGCATCAAGGAGCTGGAGCAGGAAGAGGAGGAGAGGAAGAGGGAGGAGAACAGCACCTCTAACGAGTGCACAGACGTCAGTACAACAAGAGTCCACATCATCATCATCATCACCATCATCATCGTGATTTTGGTCATGGCAGTGCTCTGTATTGACACTGACTTTAAAACATGTATTTGCAGGTGACGAAAGCAGACAGTAAGAATGCCAAAAAGAAGAACAATAAGAAGACCAGCAAGAACAAGAGCAGCCTGAGCCGAGCCAATAAGAAGAAACCGGGGATGCCCAACGTCTCCAACGACCTCTCCCAGAAACTCTACGCCACCATGGAGAAACATAAAGAGGCGAGTCCGCTTTGATTACAGCTAAAGCAGTACCAGGGGGTCCGCGGGGTCTTAAAAAGTATTAGACGTTGATCAATCAATTTAGTGAAAATTAAGGCTATTAAAAAGTATTAAACAGCATTTCCCAAGGTATTACATTTTGTAGCTTGTTTTCAATAAGTATATAAATGGTCCAAAGAGGTTGTATTCTACAGTCTGCCTGAATGTAATCATTGCGTAGCTGTGTAGTGTGATTCTGTGTAGTTTATTTATGGCATCCCGTTGGATTTGACGTCATCTGAACAAGACATCGCACGCTCACTGCTTGATAGCGCGCGGAGGTCCGTTTACGCCGGTTGTTAAACAACATCGTTATGGGGAAATGCAAGTCTGCGTCCAAATGGTTTGAAGATAAGGAGGAAGGACAATCAATACTGTATATAGTCAATGTGAGGTAAAGTGTGTCGCCAAGGTAACCGGTTAAAACTCAAAGTGGCGATGAGGTCTTAAAATGTATGGAAAGGATCTTAAAAAAGGTCTTAAATGGAATTACATTTGACTTCAGGATTCCTGCATACCCTGAGTTTAAATGGCATAATTATAACAACATTATGCTGCCTTGTGTCGACACGTCAGTTATCACATTGACTCCACTTAATGAATGAGGAACATAACAGTTCTGCGTTAGAGGATAGCATCACAAGGGCTCCCTCGACACAAAGCAATGATATTCTTTAATTAGATTTTGGAATATTGTCTATAATAAATTAAATCTGTGGCATGCTCATGTTTATCATACTTACACGTTTTACTCAGCAGGATAATCTCCTCATATTAACACCCCTTTATGATTGTTGACGCGTAAATGCAATTCCCAGAAGTAAAAAGCTAACGTTAGGCTATAAAGGAACTACATCCCGGTCACATGACTTCACGTCACCCCCACTAAGCTAAGAGGCTAATGTGACAATTCGTACTAATTTCTGCGCCGCGTTATCAGCCATAGTCCCTGCTACAGATTGGTTGCTGCTGTTTTAAAATGTTCACACAGTGTGCACCAGAGGCCCACACCTTTTTGATAGAATACCATATACAGAAAAGCAAAAAGCCTTTACTAAAGAATAGTAAAGTTTTAATTTATAACACTGCAAGAAGCACTTTTGTTCACTTTGTGTTTATATTGAACTAAAACCCCCAGATAAAACGGACAAGAAAATATACTTAAAGGTGGGGTAGGTAAGTTTGAGAAACCGGCTTGAGATACACTTGTTGTTATATTCCATGGAATGCTCTTAACTTCCC